CTATTGTTTCTATATTGTTTCTAACTTGTTTCTATTCAGCCTAGAGTCTGTTATCAATTTTTCTCTCAACCTGGCAGAGATTGTTGAACTATTCTATTCTGTCTAAAAACAAGCCTTCTATCTTCTGGCTCATAAGTTTCTGTAGCTGGGCCAGGTCCCGAGCTTTTCTCAAGTTCAAAGGCCTGGGAATGCTCTGGTAGCAATTCAGGCCCTCTTCCAGAGACCATCCCATCATCCTCAAACTCTTCAGGAGCATTCTCGTCAGCAAAGACACTTTGAACAGGAATCTCATTGTCATTCTCTGCATCTAAAGCACCCTCATTGTTAGAAACAGCATTATTTTAATTCCCAACATCATTAGAACCAGCATTGTCATTCCCAACATCCAGAGTGCCCTGATCACTAGACACAGTCCAACACTGTCACTCCTTCCCACCTGCTACTAAGGAGGCTGTCCAGGTCCTGAACTGAGCTTGGCTGCTGTGACAGTCTGGATGAGGGCAAACAAATTGAAATTGAATCTAGACAATACAGAGCTACTCCTGGTCAGTTGAAAGGCCGAACAGGGCATAGGATTACAGTCTGTGTTGGATGGGGTTATACTTCCCCCTGAAGATGCAGGTTCGCAGCTTGGGTGTGATCCTGGATTCATCGTTTCGGCGGGGACCAGGGGAGCATTTGCACAATTAAAACATGTGAGCCAGCAGTGCCAACACCTTTCAAGTCTGACTTGGCCATGGTAGTCCACACTCTGGTTACATCCCGTATAAACTACTACAACGCGCTCTATGTGGGGTTGCCTTTGAAGACTGTTCGGAAGCTTCAAATGGTCCAGCAGGTGATAGCCAGGTAGTTACTGGAGCAGCATTCAGGGAACACGCAACTCCTCTGTTGTGCCAACTCCACTGGCTGCCAATTTGCTACTGGGTACAATTTAAAGTGCTGGCTTAATCCTATAAAGCCCTAAATGGTTCCGGTCCAGCTTATGTATCTCTCCCTATGAACAATCAAGAAATTTAAGATCATCTGGGGAGGCCCTGCTCTCAATCCCACCTTCTTCATAGGCGCATTTGGTGGGGACGAGGGACAGGGCCTTCTCAGTGGTGGCCCCTCGGCTGTGGAACTCCCTACCTAGGGATATTAGATTAGCCCCCTTCTTCCTGACCTTTCAAAAAAAGTAAAAAATCTTTGAACAAGCCTTTGGAAATGCAGTGCAAAAGACAAACACGGATTTATGTAAGTTTGAAACACGGAACGGCTTAAACAATGCTATTGGAAAGTGAGATTAACAGGAAGTCAATGGTTATTATATGTTTTTAATTATTTTTGTATTTAATTGATTTTATATTGATTTTATAATACTGTTTTAAATGTTTTAATTGTATATTGTGGATTGTTTTGGCATTGAATTGCTGCCAATTTGTAAGCTGCCTTCATTCGCCTTCGGGCTTAAGAAAGATGGGATAGAAATATTGCAAATAAATAAATAAATAAATGTGCATTGTACAATTAATGGAATCTTAGAATCACAGGACTATAGTAGTTTAAATCTGTCCATAGATTAATTCGCTCTTTCTCTCCATCCAGGTGCTTTTCCATATATGTGTGTGTGTATGTGTCTAGCTTTCCCCCTGAAATTGATGTGTTTTATAATAAATGGCATCTTAGAATAGAAAAAATACAAAATACATGTTCCATTATTTCCTGAGGCAGCGGGAAGCTGAGATCCCAATATATGCACAATTCCCCTTTTATTTAAACCTCATAATCAAATTGGAAAAAAAAAGGCTCTCTGGGCTTCCTGCTGCCTCAGGACAAAATGGAACATGTAGACCGTATTTCTTCGATTCTAAAGTGCCACTTATTGTAAAACTGGAGCAAAGAGGAAGAAGAATCAGAAAAATTAGTAAAAATATTGAAATCAACAATGGCACACTATTGAAATCCACTCCCAACCACCTCATAATAGGAAGGTGCAAGCTACAGTAATGTTTCTATTTTGCAAAAAACATCGAAATGTTTCCTTCCGCCACAGTTCAAACAGGTGAGATGTATTCTAGCTGCTCCTAGCCATTAAAAGGAATTGGCATTGATTCAGTGAGAAATCCTCATCAAGCAAAATGTACAACACCCCCAGGAAATGTGAACAAGGATTGTTGTAAAATACATATTCATGCCGTATGCACCCAAACGTCAATTTCAACATTGCAGTTGCCATTGTTATATGATGCATGAAAAGGGGAAATGAAAGAAAACTCAAGGTTTGATTTATGACTCTTTATAGGAGGCATTTCAGATCCGAGAATCGCCCACATATTTGCATAGCAGGTCCCTTGATGATTTTTAAAAAATCCCTTTTGTGTGAAAAGCACTTTATGTGAAATCAAAGCGGGCAGACCTAGAAGCCAAGGAAGGCACACATGGTCAGAATACAATGCTATAGTTCATTTAACGAGGATATAAATGACATTGAACTGAATTCTATGCAAATTTCCAAACTATAGCTTATCAGGAAGTTTGATTCTATTTGTTTTGGACTGAAATAAATTAGATCAGCTGAGCAAGAAAGGCTCCAGTTGCCAGCAACTGCTTTCATGGCTTAAAAAGGTCACCACATGTACTCCATTTCTTCAATTGGCATTTTGTTCTGACCACTTACTGTGTTTTTCTTTGTAGGTATCCAGGATATTTCAGACACTCTGGTCATAAAAATTTCCCTTTCTTTGGGGGATTTAAAAAAGTCCTAACAAAGTGTTTCAGAACATGTCACGGGCAATCAATTGTGGCCAAATGATTGTCTTCCAAAGGTAGAGTCTGGGGCGTAACGTGAAAATAAACCACGTAGTTCACGTTTGATCAACTCATATGCTGCCTTGCCAGAGGAAGAAAATATGCCACACAGATGATCTATTAAGAGCAAGTAGTCTACTCTATGTAATTCAGAACAACATATTTACAATTATGTGATCAGTTGCATCGACTCGCATAATGTTCTTTTTTTGAGAGATTTAAAATGGTCTTTCTTTGTCCATGTGGAGAAATCTCCCTTCAGCAGCTTATGAAGCAAGAGCACACTTCAAACCATCTCTCTCTGCTTCTCTCTGCAAGCACCTGCATAGCTCAAGCCTAAAAAAAAAGTAACAGTAACCAGAAGTCCCAGGCTCAGCCAGCTCCCTGGGCGTAGCCTTACCAATCAGCTTCATGCTTCTTATTTTACAGTTGACACACACACACTGATTTCTCACATGTTCCAACAGAGTCTTGGCGGTGGATCTGTAAATGACTGTGGAGACCTATTCTGGATCCACATGGTCTTTTGCAGTGAGGACATAGATTTCCAGATGGAAAGCAGTCCTGACAAAGGTTTGCTTGCATTCCACATTTTGTAAGTTAGCTTTAAGCCCATCTTTAAATCTCTCTTGTTGTCCACCAACATTCTGTTTTCCGTTCTTGAGCTGAGGGTAAAGTAACTGCTTTGGGAGATGATGATTGGGCATTTGGACAAAGAGGCCAGAATGGGGTTGGACTGGATGGCCCATGGGGTCTCTTCCAACTCTTTGATTCTATGATTTTATGCAAGAGCTGTTCAGCAGTGGAACTCTCTGACCCGGAGTGTGGTGTAGGCTCTTTCTTTGGAGGTTTTTAAACAGAAGCTAGATGGCCATCTGTCAGGGGTGCTTTGAATGCAATATTCCTGCCTCTTGGCAGAATGGGGTTGGACTGGGTGGCCCATGGGGTATCTTTCAACTCTTTGATTCTATGATTTTATGCGAGAGCCGTTCAGCAGTGGAACTCTCTGCCCCGGAGTGTGGTGAAGGCTCCTTCTTTGGAAGCTTTTAAACAGAGGCTGGATGGCCATCTGTCAGGGGTGATTTGAATGCAATATTCCTGCTTCTTGGCAGGGGGTTGGACTGGATGGCCCATGAGGTCTCTTCCAACTCTTTTCGTTTTGTTAATTTCGTAATTCGTTATTAATTCGTTATTTTTATATAACGAAGCGATATTGAACCATTCAGGAGCAACTAAAAATCAAAACGAATTTTTCAATTCATTTCGTAATTGTTTCGAAATCGTTTCGTAATTGTTTCATAATTATTTCCGTATGTCTGGTGCAAGTTTTAGGGTTGTTGTTTGTTTTATCAGTGATAAAAAATAAATTATCACACCAACAGTCAACAACAGAGGGAGAGGGAAGCTTCAGAAGTTCCCCCTGTCCCATTTGGAGGGTTTTTTAGCGTATCGCGCAATCGCGTCCGCCATTAACGAATCAATTCGAAATTTACGAAATTTCGTAAACAACGAAATTTTTTAAAGAAAAAATTCGGAATTCTTTTAAAAAACGAAACGCAATGGACCCCCTAAAAACGAAAGAGTTTAGAAACAAATTTTTCCGTTGTTACCCAGCCCTAGTCTCTTCCAACTCTTTGATTCTATAGGGGTGAGAAAAGCGGTATAGAAATATTGTATGCTGTAAATAAATAAATAAATAGCCGAGGGGCCACCACAGATAAGGCCCTGTCTCTCATTTCCCCCCAGACGCGCCTGCGAAGATGGCAGGACCGAGAGGAGGGCCTCTCCAGACGATCTTTGCACTCTTGATGGTTCATAGGGGAGAATACATTCGGACAGGTACTTTTAACTGCCTGGGAGTTGTAGTTTGGTGTGGCACCAGCCCTCATGGGCAGAGAAGGCTTTAAAATAAACCTGTAAAACGACCATTCTCACAAAACCCCAAAGCATTGAGCTCTGGCAGTGGCAATGGCGTGTACTCTCCATCCAACTCCAAAACACAAAATGAGGGAGGGCATTCTTTCCACGAATCCCCGCCCACACCGAAGCCCCGCCTTCTTTTCCCATGGCTCGGCGTTTCCTTAGCAACAAGGGGAGGATGGGGGGAGGGAGGGAGGGGGGAGCACGCGCCGCCACTGCGCCTGCGCACTTACGCCCTCTGCCTTTCAGTGCAAGGGGTGGTCTCTTCCGGTTCACGTCGGCGCAGAGGAAGCCGGGCGGCCATCTTGGATCATCCGGCACTCTTTTGCTGAAGGAGGGAGGGAAGGGAGGAAGGGAGGAAGGAGGGAGCTGGCTGGCTGGCTCAGAGGCGGGCAGCGGCCTTTCTTTTCTTTTTCTCCTTCTTCTTCCCTCTCGCACGGATTGAAATATGGCAGCCTAGGCCCGGTGAGGCCTAGGAAAGGCGGAAGGGCGGACGGGAGCCTCCGAGGGACAATCCTGGTGCTCAGCGAAGCAGGGCCATTCTTCCTCCCTCCTCTTTCCCCCTCCTCCTTCCCTTTTTCCCTTTCCTTAGAGCACTGTAGGGCCTGCCTTTTCCCCTCCAGGGCTTCCCTGAGAGCTGCTTCCCTTGCCTTTCCCCCTCCACCTAGTCTCCCCTCTTTGCCTAATCCCTCCTCCATTCCCCTTTCCTCCCTCCTTGCCCTCCATGAGAGCCCCTCTCCCCTTTAATCCTCCTCCTCTTCCACCTTCCAAGGAGCCTAATCTCCCTGTGGGATGATCCCCCAAGGCTCCTCCATCAGGTTAGGCTATAAATGAGGCAGGGGGCTCCTCTTCGTGGAGGAGGAGGAGAAGGAGGCCCAGAAATCATCCCCCACATCTCACTCCCTCTCACACTCTCTCCTCTTTTTTCCCCTTGATGGTGGCAACTCCTAACCACTGTCATGCTGTAAAACTATTCTTTTCTTCCCTTGATGGTGGCAACTCCTAAACACTGTCATGCTGTAAAACTATTCTTTTTTTGTTGTAAATATCTCTATATATATATATTTGGAGGAGGAGGGCGTTAGGGTTTTCTTCTCCCCCTTATTTTTTTGATATAATAATATTAATAATATTCCTGGGTTTGGCCATCGCAAACCGGGGCTTCAGCACAAGTGAATGAAAATGTCCACCAGAACTCCATTGCCCACCGTGAATGAGCGGGACACTGAAAATGTGAGTGCTGTTCAGGGTTGTTCGTAATCAGTGTATTGTAGTTTTACGCTAATTGAAATAACGAATTCTAAATGTCCTAACTTATTCTGCTTCCCTCTTACAAGGTGCCTCCTGCAGCATCACTTGGGAGCCCCTCAGTATATGCAATATAATTATTACATGCAATATAATAATAACGTAAAGTATTGATACAAATATATTATATATAATGCTAATAATTTTGTATATGTATATGTACTACAACTTATGATATGGTACAATATATAATACTAAAGGCTGAGAAGAGCGGTATACAAATAAAGTAATTAAATAATAAATAATAGTGTACTATACTGGTAGTGTATTATATATATTKTATRACAATATAGTGCAATATAATAATATATAATATAATAACAATTGTATACTATATATTTTACATGAATCATCACTAATAAGATTGGAGTATAGTGGTATAGTACAATATAGTAATATATAATACTAATATTGTGCTGTGCTATGATAATATACATATATATTTATATGTACTACAACTTATGATATGGTACAATACTGTACTATACTGGTAGTGTATTATATATATTGTATAACAATATATTGCARTATAATAATATATAATATAATAACAATTGTATATTATATATTACATGAATAATCACTAATAAGATTGGAGYATAGTGGTATAGTACAATATAGTAATATATAATACTAATATTGTGCTGTGYTATGATAATATACATACATACATATATATATATATATATATATATATATATATATGTAGTAATATTTATTTGTCGTGTCAGAGCAACCARTCAATTTCTAACAGAACAAAACAAACAAACAGACAAAACACAAAATTTGCAAGTTTGGTAGTTGATTGTATTACATGTATTGCTAATAATTTTGGAGTATAGTGGTATTGTGTATAGTGGTATATATTATATATAATATTAATAATGTTGTAATATAATATATATTATATGTACTACAACTTATGATATGGTACAATATATTATATACTAATAGTGTACTATACTGGTAGTGTATTATATATATTGTATAATAATATATAATATATAATAATATATAATATAATAATTGTATATTATATATTACATGTATTATATATATAAATAAAAGTGCAATGTTCGCTTGTGGGATTAGCTTAACTCAAAACCCACTGGATGAATAGACACCAAATTTGGACACAATACACCTATCAAGTCAACGAGTGGCCTTCATTCATAAAACACTGAAAAACACAGCAGAAGAGACTTAAAAAGCCAAAAAACCAAAAATGCATTACAACACATGCGCAAAACCACACACACACACATATATACACACAAACACACGTGTATACACATATACACAAATATACACACACATATACACATATATACACACAGAAAACATATACACAGACTGGGCCACAGCAACGCGTGGCAGGGGACGGCTAGTCACTAATAAGATTGGAGTATAGTGGTATAGTACAATATAGTAATATATAATACTAATATTGTGCTGTGCTATGATAATATAGTACAATATAATAAAATGTAATATAATAATTGTATATTATATATTACATGTATTATTACTAATAATTTTGGAGTATAGTGGTATCGTACAGTATAGTAATATACAATACTAATATTGTGCTATGCTAATAATATAATATATTATATATACATATAACCTTGATAATATTATAATGCAATACAATACTAATAATAATACAATACAATTTATAATAATATTGTAATGCCATAATAGTAATGCATTAAATATACTACTGATAATGTATAATCATATATGATATACTTTTATTATTATATATTTGTATATTTTAAGTTGTAATTATTTTATTGTGAGCTACTTTGAGTCTCCATATGGAGAGATAAAGCAGGATATAACTCTCTGCCCCGGAAGCTGGATGGCCATCTGTCAGGGGTGCTTTGAATGTGATTTTCCTGCTTCTTGGTAGGGGGTTGGACTGGATGGCCTACAAGGTCTGTTTCAACTCTATGATAGATAGATAGATAGATAGATAGATAGGGTGTATGCACATGGTTCTTTACAAGATTAAATTTTTCACACATAATGTAAATTCGTTTCATTCATATATATATATATATATATATATATATATATATATATGATACTGTATTGGTATTGTAAATAAAAATAAAGGTGTTATTAAGTATTGAAATCCCTTTGTGACTTTTGGCCCACCCTGTATGTACATACACACATACAGTGATAACAGTGATAACTAAACTTCCGTCAGAGCTTGAAATTTTGTAACATATCCTCAGGTTTACTGTTATTACAACAGGCATTGTCTGGCAGCTGGACATGTGATAACAGATGTTTTGCGGGTTGCTATGATGAACATTGTTATTAGGAAAACGCCTACTAAGGCCTTCCTACAGTAAGTTGCTGTTCATGTTTAAATTTGGGATCCTCCCCACTCATTCTTATTGAGCCCATCACACTTTACTCTTACGTCTTAGAAATGCAAGAGAGACTTGAACATCCAACATCTTGGACACAACATGTGCTGAAGACTAAAAGCAGATTATGAATAAACATACGGCAGGCAGGAAGGAAGGAGTGGGTCGTTTCCTTTCACAAATAATTCACAGGGTGACCTAGATAACATATCTCAATATGATTTGTATTTCTCTTGAGGGTGCCTTATGCCACCTTCAGTGCTTGAATGTATTGTACATAGATATTAAAGAAAACTGCATTAATTTTTAATTAGCATGATTTTTTTAGTGCTGTGAAACTGTTTTACTTCATTAAAGTAAAGGTAGCTGTTTCTCTGTATTTGCTGAATTTAATGAAAAAATCGAATCAAAAGATAGCTATGGGTATTCCTTCTGTAAAATGTATTGTGTATATATTCATTGATAGAGGGTTCTAAACGCAGTGCAGATTTTTTTTTTACTATTGAATCAGAAAAGCTAACAATTTGATAATCTTAAGAATGAAGACTGTTGAGATCTGCGATTCTTTTGAAGACGAGAAAGATAGACTAAGCTTATTTTTGTGTTTGTGTGATCTAGTCTGCTTGTCATTGACTGAAAGTACTTGAAACAAGTTTAGATAGGGAGGTGGAACAATTGTGGTATTGTCGGTGCTTTGTATATGTTGACTCAGATAAAATCTCACAGTTTGTTTACTTTAGTTCCTGAAACAAAGCTTATGAAGCTTAAAGGCTGTATTCAATTATAAATAATTCATCGATAGAATATTTGTACATTTTTCAGGCCCACAATGTTTCATTTTAGGGGGAAAACCTGTTCAGTGTTTCATTGTAGTTCATTGTCAACTATAAGATTTTCTTTAGTAGGTTAAATCTTATGGCCACTCAATTTTTTACTCTTGTTTAGAATAACTATATCTAGAAGGTCATTGGATAGAACTATGTAGATAATTGTAGTGTGATTATTTAGTCTGGATGAGATGAATTTTTAAATAGGTTGTAAGGTGATGGTCACTGTACTTTAAAATGAAGCAAATGTAATACTTATTGGTCTGAACTATTTATGTTCAGAAGTGGTCCTGGTTCTGATGTAAAAATATAAAATTAATAATGTGGCAGGACTTGTGGCTGGTTTTTGCTTGGCTTGCCATGTCAGAGCTCACAAACAAGGTAGAACTGGATTGGTTGGTTGGATGCAGAGTATGAATATATATAGTACTCTGATGAGTTGTAATTTACACAGAGGCATGCTCTTGACCACAAAAGTACTAGATCACAGGAGGATCCTTAATATGAGTAAAGGTAACACAGGTTAGTGTTGCCCTGATTTCATTTAAAATTTGGAAATTTAGAATTGATACCTTTATGTAGAACTTAATAAATGTTTGCTTCCCTCTTTAATTACTGGGTTTAAAATATTATTCCATTTTAGCTGTGGTGGCAGTAGGAGGGGAATAGCTGAAAAAAGCAGAAAATTCAAGGTATCCTTTTGGATTTGGCAGTCCTGAATCCTTCATTACATTGCATGCTTAAAAGTTCTCATGATAATAGAGAAGAGAAATAAATGAACCAGTGCTAAATTTTCTAAGGTAATATTCATCAGCTCCTATTGGCAGAAACAGATAATATTTCCGACAGTTTCATATTGGTTCTCAGAAAAATGCTGAATGAGCATTGTTCTTGCTTGTGCTTGAAGCTGAACCATGTAAAGTAATTGTTAAAAGGGAAGACATTCTACAAGCCAATGTAGAAACCTATATTTCTTTTCAGACACTACTGGGTGTTATGGCATTTTCTAGGAGCAAATCTATAAGATCTACAAACTGAGCAAGGAGAATGCTCATGCTATGAACCAAAATTCCAAATCCAAAAGTTCTCACTTTTTTCTTTAGTGTGTGTGAGTTTAAGATGGTTAATTTCTGCTTGAATTTTGTCTGATTTCTATTCTGATAGACTTCATACCTCAAGGCTCTTCCACTTATACTCTTCTGTCAGGGGGCTGTAGAATGGGCCTCCCCTTGAGGGCTAAGCACACACTTTCTGCGAGCAGCAGCTGCAGAATAGGAAAATAGATGTCTTAATGGCCTTAATTAATGGTAAAATATGAAGTTGTATATATATTGCATGATGTGGCTCTTAGTTTTGCAACCTGGATAACATTCAGTTCATACACCTTTTCTTTTGCTTAGTCAAAGGTTTAAAAGAAATCGCTATCATATCAAACAGCACTCACATTGTTTTCAGGCAGAAAGTTGCATTTTAAATAATTGATGTATTTTTGGTATGTCTCAATATCATTTAGTGGGTTAGACTGACCTAGAAAGCATTGTTCTATGAAGACATCTGTTTCAATAGCATTTTCTTGGGCAGTACTGACATTTTGTAAGTGATGCATTTTGAAAACACATCTGTGGTGTGAAATTTTCCTGCATGGCAGGGGGTTGGACTAGATGATTCATGTGGTCTCTTTCAATTCTATGGTTCTATGGTAAATTCAGTTTGT